CGCTTCCCGTTCGCTCAGCGGTAATTAAGCAGGAAAACGGCGGATTAGTAGTTAGGTGGGTGACCACTAGCGAATCCCCGCTGTCGTATGTTTTTGTGGAATATTTCTTCATTTTTTGCTCCCGCACGTGACATATCTTGGCACTCGGAACGAGGTTTCTCCGGATGGTAATAGTGCCCCACCATACCTGGCGAGTGCTGAGTATTCCCACACCACCAAATACGGTCCGCGGTCCCTAGTGCATCCGAACCGTTTTCGGACAGATGCAGATGGAGTTGGCATGAATGTGGATGAGAGCAGTAAGGCTGCAGCTACCAATACCTCTACTGCTGCTGATATTACCCAGTACTCCAGTTCCACTGGCTACCCCGCGAACAGCCTCGTCTCGTGTCCTACTCGCTCGCCGTTAGCAAGCAGCATGCGCGTAGTAAACATTTGGCTACAGCCATCATTAACCAGAACTCCGACTAGTCACAGGACAAGACACTTGGTGGCAAATTTTTTTTCTTTCGAAAAAAATTTGCATGTATTTTTTTCGTTTGCCAACGTCTACATACAGATCTAGCAATTCCTCGAACATCCAAAGGGAAACGGTAAAACTGCAGGAGACTTGTATTCACCCTCGGCTACACTCCTCACTCCAAAAATAACGTTGTCCTTGTGGATGGTAGCAGAGGTAAGATTATACCAGGTCACATTGCCGACGTCAATGACATTCGTCCAATGCGCTTCGTTTGTCTCACGATACAGGATTTCGTATCCTTGAACAGGGAGACCTTCAGGTGCAGTCCATCTGAACTGGCTAAAGTTGTCAGACGAAGTGGTATTGATGCCAACGTTTGTGGGTACACCGGGCGCGTTTGCAAGACTCCACATGGTACTTGCGACAACCTTTGCGGCGCGAGTGTTGTATTCAAAGTCTAGCCACTCGACCAGGTCGCCGTACTGCTTGCCGTTGCGTACAGTGACGTTTTGGTGCTGTTGAGTGTAGTCTTCGTTTGGCTGGACAAAGCGCACGCCCGTGTAGCCAGCCTCGAGAAAAGGGCGATGATCGCCTCCGCGACTGTATCGATCCAGACGATAAATGAGACGAACCGTCATTTCTGTCCAAGCATTGGACGCGAC